TTAGAAACAACATGTAAAACTGACTTCTATTAGAGGGGAAAAAAATAGTAGCATACTAGTATATCTATTTATTGTAAAACTGACTCCTAATGCAACGGTTCATGTTAAGACATGTCGCCTTAAAAAGAACAGTACTCATGATATTTGCTTAAAAGGCACCTCCAAAATACATGTCCCCAAGTGAAAATATGTCTATTTGTGAAAATATTCGCACCTTAGTGAAAAAGATGTCTGTTATGGATAGTCAAAAGATGTCTCTTCATAGAAATACACGTCCCGTAATGAAAAGAGGTCCATCCCTTGGTGAAAAACGTCTCTTCATGAAAATATGTACTCCCTTCATTTTTATTTACTACACGTATTAGCTGTGACCTAAGTCAAACGTAATGAGGTTTGACCAAGTTTATAAAAAAATAGTAGTACAAACTATCAAAATAATAAATATATATGAAGCGATTTTATTATTATTAAATGTTCATTCTAATGGTATTGATTTGGTATTGTGAATGCTCGTAATTTTCTAAATAAAGTTCATGCAACATTACAAAGTGTGACTTGAAACAGAGTTATACAAATGAAGATAGTATTAGAAAGAATGTAAAGAAGTATAATAACTGTTAGATTAATATGTCATCAGTTTATAACTCCGCAAAAGTGCGGCCATTAAAATTGCCTTAATTGTGGCAAAAAAATTGATGTACAAAAAATTGACATTTTAGTTTGCACTTGAACTTCGCAAGTCCATACTTAAAAAAATGTGAACTTGTACATGCATATTTTAAAATAAATTTACTAAAACCCTTAATGATACCCGCAGCAAAGCACAGGGTTTACACTAGTATGCTACTATTTTTTTTTAAAAGTTTAAGCTTAGCCACCGCGTATCTATTGCTGGAATTTTAATCTATTTTGGATCAGCCCAACAATCAGTTTCAGAATTCCTAATTAATTCTAAAGGCCCACTCATCACATTCGTGCATTGCTAGTTTGGTAGGAGTTGGACCTCCTTATAAAGAAGGTTGTTTCCCACATGTATGAGCATGAGAACAAGAGGGATATTCACGCGTGCTCCTCCGCCGCCCGCTTTGCCACGCCTCGTCACGGCATGCCGCGGGTTGCGGGGAATGAGCCGAAACCCCACCTCTTTGAGACACCGGTACAAATGCTATTTTCCTTCACTCTGCTAGATTGCACGACTTGTTTCATCTCTACTATAATAATCATATTTTATTTACTGTTTCTGTTAATAAAATCATACGGTAAATTGCTCACATTTCCAACATCTACTTGTATGTAACAATTAAAGCTAGGGTTTCTCCTTCGCCACCATCTCCTCTGTCGGCTACGTCGGTGTGGGTATGCGGGCATGACCCATCTACCAATCGGGCCCGTCATTTCCCCCTCTCCGGGTCGTGCAATATAGTCTCCAAGCCTCGCCCTTGTTTCGATGATGCTTACTTCTATCATCGGGAGACATAGTGTCTTCAAATCTGCTTCTTCGGGTCTGGATTTTTTAGTACATTTGTTTTGATCAAATTGTCTTGCGGAGTGAACAATGTGGTTGTACATCTTGGTCCCTTGGCTTCAGTTCCGAACCACGAAGGTTTGCCAGTCTGGCCTAATCGGAGAGCGTGTGTTCTCCGACTCCATTTGGCCGGAATTGGGGCATTCTACAAGCCCTCTCTACCGTTTTGTTCTTTGGGGCGACGATTTGCTACGCACATCAAGGTTGACAACACCTTTTGATCTACATCGACGACTTTTCGGTTGTTGCTTTTTATAAGCTCTTATGTTTAAACATGTTTGCTCGATTGAGACGAAGGTCCAAAGGAGCCTCAGGAAGAAGAAGACTTGGGCAACCAAGAAGATTTGGATGTATTTTTTAATTTATGTAAGGATTGTGATATTTTTTAAGGGTTTGTGCTAATTAATTTATGGCCTTTGGCCTTTTACAAAAAAAATACGCTTATACTCCCTCCGTTCCAAAAAAAGTGACTCAGCTTTAGTACAAAGTCGAGTCACTTATTTTGGGACTGAGGAAGTAGTATATAATAATTACAATAACATAAAAGCTGCTCAGCTTAAGTGGGCCGACATATCAAAAGCCTATTACTTCCCGCGGTCTAGTCAGGCCTCCTAACACGAGTCCTAAATTGGGCCATGGGACCGCGGGCGCGGCATACCCAAAACGCAGTTTCCGGAAGTTTCCATGGTGTTCTAGGCTGTTAGGTCGAAACTTTTCCCCTCTTTCCGTCTCCCAGAAAGTTCGATCGAATCTCACCGTGTTGCGTTCCACGCACATTCCACCTCTGCTGCCTGCTCGCTACCCGTTCTGAGGGTTCGAAATCCCCAAATCTTCTCGCGGATCAGCGGGGGCCGTCGGCGACGAGCGCGAGGAGGACATGTCCTACCTGCTGCCACACCTGCACTCGGGATGGGCGGTGGACCAAGCCATCCTCGCCGAGGAGGAGAGGCTGGTCATCATCCGCTTCGGCCACGATTGGGACGAGACATGCATGCAGGTACGGGCCATCGATCCCCTGACGAACCCTACCTTTCAGTAATCGATTGCGTCTGGACTTACGCCGGGTGAATTGTTTAGAGTCGAGTCGATATTGGATTTGGTCGTAGCCTTGTAGGGGTCATGGATTCGTGAAATTTCGCTGATTGGGTTTACGGATACTGATAGATTAGGTAGGGTTTAGGGATCAGAATCACCCAAGATCCGAGTCTCTTGCTGATACTTACAAGAACTGTGGCTTCCTAGGCACTCTCCAACTGTCCATCCTAGTGAACGTGCCATCAGCATTTTCCTCGTCAAAGCCTCAAAAAACACATGGACGTTGTGTCTGGACTTACGCTGGATCAATTGTTTGGAGTCGATATTGGATTTGGTTGTCGGGGTCATGGATTCATGAAATTTGAACGGTTGGGTTTACGGATACTGATAGTTTAGACAAGGTTTAGGGATTAGAATATAAGAACTGTGGTTCCCTAGGTACTGTCCGAGTGTCCATGCTAGTGAATGGGCCTGCAGCTCATAGCCTCTTTAGTCTCTACAGCAAGAGCAGAAGTGCATGGGATGTGGTGCACAAGTTTTCTAAACAAAACTGAAAACAAAAGCACTATGACCTGTCCTATACCTGAGTAACCTGACAGCACAACCCTGACAAAGTTGAGCTGTGGAGGTCCATGAGCAACTTGTTTTGATGTTTCATGCAAAAAATAAAATAACCATTGTCTGTTATTGATTGCAGTTTCTGCTAATCCACCTTATTGAATCCATTCTGACTCGCTGCTTGTTCATGTCCAGATGGATGAAGTGCTATCAGGTGTGGCTGAGACCATAAAGAACTTTGCAGTGATCTACCTTGTTGACATCACCGAGGTTCCTGATTTCAACACCATGTACGAGTTGTATGACCCGTCCACGGTGATGTTCTTCTTCCGGAACAAGCACATCATGATTGATCTTGGACAGGAAACAACAACAAGATCAACTGGGCCATGAAAGACAAGCAAGAGTTCGTCGACATTGTGGAGACTGTGTACAGGGGAGCCCGGAAGGGCCGTGGTCTGGTGATTGCTCCAAAGGATTACTCCACCAAGTACCGTTACTAAGCCACTTGTGTCTGGCTGCTCATGTGCTATTTCTAGCGTATTCTGTCTGGTAAAATGTCTGATCACCGGTTAGGCCGGTGACCATTGATGCGAACTGTGAAGTATGCCAGCTTATCCAGTGTTGTATCTTGGCATCTCATAAGCATCTGTAAAATCCTTGATGATTGTTCGAAATGCTCGACACAGAATATGTTGGCATGGGTATGACCAATAAAACTAGTACTCCTTTATTTTGTGTTGCTGAATCCTATTTTGTGTTTTGATTCTTCCTTTCTTTTTGGGTTCCGATGATTGCCACACGTGTGGTGTATCGGATAGTTGTGTCACACGCCTCGTGTGGCATGGACAGCAACCAGCCCACACATCTATGTGTGGGCAAAACAACTAATGTCCACATACATCTTTTTTCCCCTCCTGAACCCTCTCACATGCGTGCGTGTGGGCGAAGTTGATAATGTCCACATACCCGTATGCCAGGCCTCGTATCCTTCTAGTCCCGCACGCGACGCGTGACGCCCACCGCGCGCCCGTAGTTGCCATGGTCCAGACCCTCGTCCATGTTCGGTTATCTGCAGTTGCCATGTCGCTGAACTACGGTTGCCATGTCGGACAACTGCAGTTGCCATGGTTGCTCAACTGCAGTTGCCATGTATGGTCTGATCTAATGTAGTTGCCACATAATAACACTAGGCAGTTAACATTTCCGTTCTTTTTTGATGAACGTTCTTGTAGATTGATTCCACGCACTGGAATCTTCATGTGTGTGTTTTTAACACCACAGGAATCTTCATGTTGGTAACACCTCGCTGAGATTGTGTTTCATCTAGAGCACATGTCGCCATGGGTTCCTGAAGCATTGATCTACCGTGCTAATAATTATTGACTGTTCTCTTTTGCTCAAGATTGCCTACACGTGAGCGTATGCAATACTGTTAATTAGGCTTGATTGTGTTGTCGATTCACAAAGCTCCAATTTAACGGAGAAAGGTGAATATCGTAGCTCGTAGTTGTACTGATCACGACCTAGTAATTTATCTCTTGAACCATACAGGAGAGTTGTATTCGTAATTTATCTCTTGAACCATATAAGAGAGTTGTATTCATTGAACCATACAGGAGAGTTGTATTCGTAATTTATCTCTTGAACCATATAATTTTGTTTTACGAAATTGTGCTAAAAAACACTAATTTTTTTCATATTTTTTTTGCAAAAAACACTGCTTGCTCGTTTGGACCGTTTTAAGTGCGTTTATGACAAGGGGGCCCGCATCCGTCAACGTGGCAGCACTATTCACACGGCAACGCCGTTAGACGGCGTTACACGCCGCTGGCGCACCGGTTCGAGCCGAGCGGGTCAAACACCCCCGAAGCGGTGCAGGCCCACCCCCAGCCCTCACTCTCTCTTTGTACTAAACGTTGCTCCGCCGCCCCCTCCCACATCCCCGACCGCCGTCGCCGCTGCGTCGCCATGGTGTCCTGGTCTGATGACGCCAGCAGCGACAACTCTCACCAGTACGCCGACTCAGCTTCGGACGAGGGCATCATCAAGGTGAGTAGCTCGAGCTCAAGCTAGGGTTTGGGTTAGGGTTGCGATTTGGGGATTTTTCTGTTGAGCCTTGATCTGAAGTTTTGTTGCCTTTTCTTTGCACCTCCAGATCCCTGAGACCATGGATGACTCCGATTTCGAGGGCACTCAACCTGACGTTTTGTGCAATGAACACTCCCTGCCAGCAGAGAGGCTTGTTGCTTTCCAGGGCATCCATACTGGCAGGAGGTTCCTTGCTTGTGCTGTGAAGGTATGTGCCAAATTTATGCTAATCTGGTCATTATTTAGTACTAATTTTATAGTTAGCAGATCTGGTGTGCTAGTTGCTCAGTGAGGTAATTGTTTATATGTGAGCATATGCACATTATTGTCAGCAGATCTGCCATGTTAGTTAGGTTGTTAATTAGTTGTGTATTTTCTATGATAGTGGTGGGTTAGTAAGGTCATTGTTTATATGCCAGTATGTGCATAGGGTTGGGGGCACTGATTAAGACTTGTTACTTTATAGCATGTGGATTAGTGAGCACTGTAATTGTTCAACTCACTGTGTCATATAGCTACATCATACCTATTTTTTAACTCATTGTGTTACTTTATAACTGTTTGTTACTTTATAGCATGTGGATTAGTGAGCACTTTACACCATTTGTTACTTTATAGCATTGTGTTACAAGTAACACATGTTTAACACTAATATTACAGGAGGGAAAAAACTGTGGGCTGGTTGAATGGGTTGATCCATTTTGGCCAGCTACAATGGAGAATGCATTGACCAAGTTGTGGGATAAGTATGAAGAGTGCAGAAGGAGCAAGATTGAGGACAATCTGGAAAGCTCATTTGTTGTTCACAACCTGACACAACAGAAGATCAAGCTGCAGGCAAGTTATGAGAGGTTGGTTGAAGATGTCAACGGCCTCTTGGATGCCCAAGAGCAGAGGGCTCAGATGGAGAGAGGTAAGATGCAGAACAAACCTGATGAGAGCAAGCTACAGGAGAAGTATGGCATGCTCAAGAACCTGACAGTTGCTCAAGCCAATGTCATTAGGAACATGAAGTTGAAGCTTGCTAAAGAGAAGATTAAGTTGCAGGCCCACATTGATGAGCTTGAGAAGGTTGTGGAGCAGACCAAGCTGAAGCTGAATGGGATTAAGGCCATCTTAGATGAATGAGCAGTATAATGTAATATGCTGCTTATTAGTACCACCAGCATGGTTATGGGATGATGAGTACTATAATTATGGTTATGTAATGACTACTATTAGATGAATGATCTAGTAATATCTGAATTATGGTTATGTAATGTACCTATTTAGCATTAAGCACTATCCTGTAATATGGTACTTATTAGTTATGGTTATGTGTGGATCTTCCAGTTATGTAGACTCACTTGGTTGGAGCAGACCAAGATGAAGCTAAATCTGATGTTGTTGGTTGGTTTTGTCAATGCCGAGAGACCCTAGACTCACTTGCTAGTTTTGTCGATGCTGAGAGACCCTAGACTCACTTTGGTGGGTTTTGTCGATGCTGAGAGACCCTAGACTCACTTTGGTGGGTTTTGTCGATGACGAGAGACCCTACACTCACTTGGTTTGGTTTATCGACGCCGAGTGACCCTAGACTCACTTTGGGGTTTTTCGACGCCGAGTGACCCTAG